TTCAATCGGGTAAAGCGGACAGAAGTATTCGTGTTTGTTGACTGCGTGGTCCAAATCAAATTAATGAATGATGGTCGCAGTCAACACGGTTCTTAACTTTCCTAAATCAATCCACTGAGTTAGGGTTCTCACACAGTCCATTAAACGCCTACTAGTTAGTTCGGACTGCGTGGCTTACTGCACACGAACAAGTGATGTGATAAACACAAGTTAAGTCGCTTCCATAGGTGATCTGTCTTTTGTGTGCGAACAGGGAGAGCTGAACCGAACATATTTCTTGTTTTCTTCATAGTTTCAGACACTTCGTTCTGTGGTTGAATGAGAAGTGTGTCTGATAATCACCAATTTTTATAAAATTGATTCAATAAGTGTGAAGGTTCATTTTCAAGCTCAATCGGAGATTGCTTTCATTATGAATGTACAGTTGTTTCCGAGTTCGCTTGTGGTGCATAGTACTTTTAATTTACCTTATGACGGCTGGCTCCTGGGAGAGGATAAGCCGGTTTTATGGATATCTCGAATTGCCGCTGCTCACACTCGGTGATCTGCGGCAAGACCAGCGCAGATCGTGGTCCATTGGTGAACGAAGTAGACGGAATGGAGACCAAGTTTTTCAGTATCCCTTCGTAACTTGCCGAGCCAGGTTTTCAGCTGTCCACCGTGCCATCAGCGCCAGTTCGGGCACGGAGGCAGTTCCCAAATGGTTTTTGTCAGGCCCTTATCGGACTTATGAAGAATGTGGCCAAACCACTGTAGGCGCCGGCGTTGCATAGTCCTTTGCCGTGTACCATTTTTTCGGCGAGATAAAGACTTATCCACATAAGTAAAGCATGCAGAAGGCTACGTTCCGGTATGAGCCCGATCGTTGTTTAAGCTCGTCTGGTAGACCATTGGCGTCCTATTAACATCATTGGCACACAAAATTTCATTTATAAATCGTTTGTCCGAAACAGACTCATTTATGTGTTTTGATAGCATTCAAAACCCATACTTGTTCATGAAGATGTTTTCCAGTGAAGCACCCATTAATGATCCCTGCATTATTCCAATCTTCTCTCAGTATCATGCTCCATCAAAGTTGGATTCTGTGCTACATTTACACAGATAGATGGGTCAAAACAACTCCAGTCAGGTCAAGAGATATTTTGTTCACTCAGATGAGCGAGTTTTCAATGTGATTCATAAATCACAGTGGACACAGAAAGTAATACATCAAAAAGATAAAAAACAAATGATAAAACTGTTCCAAAAGTCGAGCTACACGGTTGGTGGTATCCGGTGAAATAAGATGACCATTTACCGAGAATAAAACTACTGTTATTATATGAGAACACACAGCTGAGGAAAACGTGTGAATCTTGAGCTAGTTCGGGATTTGGTGCTAGCTTCGAGGATTTTATTGTGTAAACAGTGGTCAGGTTTGAACAACAGCCGTTTGTAAACTGGTCGCAAGCATACCAGGGTTTGAAAACAATGAAATCAGCCAGATAGTTGTGAGAAAGATTACTGGCGCTGGGTGAGAACTGGGGAGACCTGACAAACAAAAATGTCTTTGTTCAGTCCCCGAAAATAATAGAGAAGCAATACAGTCAATGAAGTATAGTGCGTTCGATAGGGAATTCACTTCTTAGGCATTGAGGAATATCAAGTTTGCCAAGTTTCTATTTTAAAGAGACAACTGGCGAAAATGTAATGAATAGAGAGCAATGAATTGTGTGAGACCAAACGAAAACTAAGTTACCCACATATGTGACTGTAGGGATGGACTAACAGCAACAGATTTCAAATCTGTGGTAGATGGAAATAGAGGCTTGATTAACTCACGTTTTCCAATGGTACGCACATGGTATTTCTCGAGCCGAAATTCTTTTCAGAAATGTATAAAAACCGATCTATCGAGATTTAAACCGCTGCGTAACATTAGCAAAGGTTTTAAATACTCTTCTGTTAGTCCGGAATATGCTCACAAGACGAAAAACAGTCGGAACCAATCACAGTGAACGAAAGTCACTACTCCATTACCTCGGTTACGCAAAGTTGTTCTACGATCTCCCTGTGATCATGTCATAGACAACCGGTCTCACAGCGTTCTTCACAAATTCAGGATACAAAAGACTTCCCTGGAGTAAAATGCCGTTGATGTTCTTGCATGGATATTGACAAGAAGGAATGTCAAAATCAGTAAATGTCCTTAACCGCCGGCAAACTCTGATACAAATATCTGATTAAGCGCTTGTTCGGAAAAAAATATTCATTTTACGCTGTAGCATGCAGCGATATTAAAAAACGGTTGCAATAGAAAATCCTTTTACCTTGGCATTTACCTGATGGAAACAAAAGCACTGCCGAAGTTTCGAGACCATCCCGGTTTCTCCGAAGACAGGTTATTTGTATGATGTCATATTCTGCTGCTACTGCTCATACATTTTTCCAGTGCTCTGTTATCGTAATTGAGATAAGCAAGCTACTCGATACATATCCAAATGCAGGCTTACTTGTTACCTGTCTTTTCTGAGCGATATCAAAATGCTTATTACTTATTCAAGTTAGCAACGAATGATTATGGCTCCAAAACTTTATGTTTTGAACGTCCAAACATTGAATTGCGTCCGCATCTGGACTAGATGGCAAATAACCAAGTGGTTGCTCTCACTCACATAGGTTGCCTTTGCAGTTGCCCCAATGTTGGCCACTTCGTTGTGGCGTTTTAATGGCGTTTGCCCCAACCAGTTTCTTATGGAAAATCTGTTATCAATCAAAGTAGTACTCAAAGTATTGAGAAGATAGGGTGCCAATTCGGGTGCACATGTTGAGTGATTTTATTGTTTTCATTACAATTTTTTCCCTTTTCCCAACCCATCCGCCCTATTTGAGGCCGATGTTTGTCATGCTTACCAACTTTTGCTAAAAGATGGGATTCCGCCTAGTAACATAATCACCATGATGTACGATGACGTGGCGCACCATCAACGGTAAGTGCATTACCCATTTACGACTTGTCTTATCACATACCGAAAAAAATGTCCAATTTTAATCAGGATAGACACAAAACATTTTTGCGTGCTAGGAAGATATTTATGTTCCCAAAACCATACAAAATAAAAACTACATATCGGGTCTCAGTATGTTGTCTGGTCTAATAAGCAATATCAAATTAGATAACTTTTACCTATTATGAATGGAATGCTTGGAAGAGTACATTCCGATGCACAAGTACTAAATACTATGTACAGCTATTGAGCACGAACTTTATCTTTTTCGATTATTTTCAATTCCGCATATTGTGTGTGATTTATTGGATGATAAACCGCTGAAGGTGGTGGTAGTCAAGCTGTGGCTTGGAGTTAAACTGTTTTGGGATTAAAGACTAATATATTTTCGCCTTAATTGTCTCATCAGGGACGATACGAATGCTTGATTGGATGTCCTCTGGTTACTAATTCCTGCAACACCAACTAATACGGGTCTGAACGAATGACGTCTACTTAAAGAAGGAGTAATCATCAACACACAGGGCAGCTGCTAATTCGGCACAACAACTTATCCTCAAGAGAGCTGAAACTAAGTGACATGAACAGATGAGTACAGTCACACGCAAGTCTCAGTGGAAACATATACCGTCTTTAAGCTCAAACATTTACTGTTCAGACACCAGTAAAACATTAAATCTGTGGACATGTGACTTTATTAAACTTCACTAATGGAGATCACATTTCTAGAAACCGCTCTGATATTTTTGGTTTGTCAATTGGGATCAGCAGTAGATTTCTATCCATGCGATAGCAACAAAAACAAAGGAAGACCATTGTATTATACTTGAATTCCACTATTCTCTCACATTAAGCGCTTATGAATGTATATAAAAAATTCTGTGGTGTTCGATAGAACAGTACAGCAACAGAATGTATTCAAAAGCATGGAAGAAGTTTATGCAGTAGGAACGTGTCCGATTCGTTGAGTAGTGTGTTAATCAAACCCCGATCTGATCCTATTCAGCAGCAGAGATAGAGTTTGTATGGGACAACGCAGTGTGGCAGTTGACAGGTGAAACTTTAAAAAAATTGAATGGAAATGTCGTAAAAACAATGATTTATTTGCATAACCCCAAACCAACATGTGGTATCGCACAAGTGAGCCAGCTCAACAACACAGCCAGTGTACACAAGACGCAAATAAAATTCTCCAAGTCGTCATTCGACCATACGGAGCGTGTCATAGATAATCAAACAATCGCTGGCGGCTCCTGAGCAGCCCGATTAATGTACAATGAGTTAATTAGTTATTGGGTTTGCTTTTCCGCGTCTGTGTAGGACAGCATGAATAGTATAGTAATGGACGATCTTAGGGCG